CATCTAGGCCCAAAGTTCAAGCCCCAGCACTGGCACATACGAAAAAGTGATAAGGAACCACCTTCTAATACATCTTGAACTCACATGTGTGGGAGGAGGGAGAAAATGGAAGAGACAAGATGAAAAAGACAGAATCCTAAAGCTACACTGGGGTGTAGCTCAATGCTAATGCATGTACTTGGTATGTGTAGAGGCATGGGTACAATCCTTGGCAAATCTATCCCCCAAAACTTTGACAGCAAGAGAAGAGGTGACATTTTCCAAAAAGAAATGTATTCTTTACTGGACTTATGTAACTATAACCCCTCTATACAAAAACAATTAAAAAATCTTTAAAAAATTAAGCTCCAGTCAAAAAAAAATAAGGTTCTGGTTATACAAACAAAGAAGTAAGAATATTCGAGAAACTTGTGGCTCAAGGCTGTATTCCTAGCTACTTGGGAAAACTGATATCTGAGGATCACAGTTCAAAGCTAGCCCCAGCAAACAGATTTACATGACTCTTATCTCCAATTAACAAACAAAAGCCAGAAGTAGAGCTGTGGCTCACAGCACTGGCCTTGAATGAAAAAGCTAAAGGGCACCCAGGTCCTGAGTTCAAGTCCCAGTATAGGCATGCACATGCACACACACATCTACAAAAGAGGGATATGACTGACTCTGTGGCACATCCAATATTGTGCACCAAGAGGTTGTAATTATAACAAGGTTGGTTTAATTCATGCCTGGGATGGCAAGATGGAGTCTCTAGAAGGCTCACAGTTTTTGTGCTGTGGGATGATGTGGAGCAGCTCAGGTATCTCTCATGTACACACACATCACTCATGTATGCACATGAAGGAAAGGAAGAGGGAGCAGAACAAAAGAGAGCTTGCAAAAGGCTGGACTTGGGCTGGGAAGGTGGCTCAGTGGTAGAGTGCTTGCCTTGCATGCCTGAGGCCCTGGGTTCGATTCCTCAGCACCACATAAACAAAAAGAAAAAAAGCTGGAAGTGGCACTGTGGCTCAGGTGGTAAAGCGCTAGCCTTGAGCTGAAGAGCTGAGGGACAGCGCCCAGGCCCAGAGTTCAGG